AATAAAAATGTTAAGGACATGTCTTTTAATTAAAAGAGAATATCTTAGTTAAATCATTAAGACAAAATCATAGAAAAGCGATTTTTGTTTCTTTCCGAGCTCTAGTGACATTATTTATTGAACGCCCCTAGGCCTCGTATATTACATCACAAAAGGTTTTTTCTGCACTCTAAACACTGATAATTCCAATCTTAAATTTATTTATTGATTCTCTGTGCTTTGATAGACGACAAAAATTCAACATCGATAAATTTCAATAGATTTTGGGCTTTGCAAAGAAAGGAAATAGACGGTTACATCTTCTAGTCTGTTTTAAAGTTAAATGCTAAAAAAAAAAACCTTGAGTTTAGACAAATCTAGCGAAAAAACAGAGGATACAGACATATTCTCGATGTTCCTCAGCGAATCAGCTTAGTTTTCGATGTAGCTGTGTTGGAAAAGCAAACATTCCCGAGAATTTTCGCTTCCTTTTAAGAATCAAATTCATGCTTTTAATTTCAATATTCTATCTCGTCTTTGAACAACCCAGGGCAAATCAAGGCTGTCGTCGCTCTGCTAATTTTGTTTTAGAGAGTTGTCGTACATGTATTCGTCATAATGGTCAAGGACGAATTATTCTGAAGAATACTTGTTTTTACGATATATGTTGACTTAAACAACATTCGGGGAGTTTTAAGTTTATTTTATTGATTGTTTTACAAGTAAATTTGATCTTTATCGACGCTCATCTCAATTATGTTTCATTCATACAATGCAGCATAAAATATTCCTACAGTGTACAAAAATAAAGGATCGTATTGAGGAATTAGATTTATAAGAATTAAACGTCCATTTTTCACTTTTTATCAGCTTGTGAGTAAAAAGGCATGAGTTTACACATCAGATATATTCTGAAAAAAAGTTTAATCCTTTAGAAAATCCAAATAAAATCAAGCGCTTATGAAGTTCATAATAAATTGAATCAGGGCTAAGCAGCCAGGCAAGAAATCTTTATCCGAGAAAAAACATGTCAGTTGACTTTTCTCCGTGGGAAACAGTTGTGATTCAATTTATTACAACTTACATGTAGTTACTCGTCAAAATCTAAAGAAATTTAAATTATCAGTTGATTAAAGATTTGGGAATGTTATATAACAATTTCAAAAAAAAAAAAAATAAAATAAAATAAAATATCTAATCAATTCAGTCTTTATTTTGTGTGTTTCTTTTTGTTTTAATGTACCTTACTTTTTTTTTACCTGTGTATTTTCCTGGTTATGTGCATTGACATAATTGATCGTCAAGTTATAATATACACGTAAATATTATATCTGAATTGATCTGTATACAAGCTGTGGTCCAAGTTAAGTGTCAGTGTACCAGAGTTTTTTTTTTATTGATTTGTTTACATAGAAATCGATTTAAAAGGCTGACATATCAGTTACACTTTTTACTATTACATCTATAAATGATGAAAACAAATATTGAGGATTAACAGTTAAAACGGTTATTTTGGAACTGGATTAAAAGGATGAATTCGAGATATTTAACATACATAGGAATACTAACGGTAATTGTGGGTGCTGTAGAAGAAGTATTGACTTTATATACAAAGGTAATTGCTTATTTTCCCTTGAAATATAAAATTCTGAGTAAATCATTCTTAGAAAAAACTTTCTTCGAGTTTAAGCCTTGTGCACATATATAACGATGATTTATATTTTTGTGAATTAAAACATCTGTTTACTATCGATATCTGAATGCTTCATACTTTTATAATGACACATTTACATATAGAACATGGTCACTTTATTCATGCTAAAAAAGGTCGAATTTTTAAATGACTCGTTGACTTTTCTACAATATCAAAATGGTAATATATAGATAATTAAGACAAACCCTCTTTTTCTTCAGGCCAACAAACTGTGCGTAATCAACATTACATGAATATCTTCATGCTGTATTAATATGCATCCAAGTCACATCTCGGAGTTTTAATTAAAAGCATTAAGTGGATCTTAACCATTGGTTAACTATTTTTTACGTATGTTGGAAAAATATTCTGTTTTTTCCCCCAAACATGTAATATTAAATTCTAAAAGTTAAGTGTTCATTAAAGATTTGTTAAAGAAATATATTATCTCATAAATGGGTTGGAGATGCAATACAGATGAATGATTGATTACTAGTTAAATGTCATAGCACTGATGCTAAATATTTTTTTTTCAGATAAGACATACAGGTTCCAACATTCTTTTCAATTTTATAAAACAATTTTTCTAACACTTTCATTTCAAGACATTTTAAAGTAAAATAAAATTATGCATTTGAAAAAGAGGAAAACAACATTCAGCCGTTTATTGGATATAAGGATTCAAGCCAACATATGATTTGTCGGCCCGTTTTGAACACACACCAGATATTTTTTGTCGACAAAAAACGATTAGACCGGTCTAGGTCAATACAATAACCGATTTTTTTTTCATAATACTGTTTTTCACATCTTTTATGTTTTTTGTTCGTGTGATCCCAAATATAAATTTTCTCCTCCTGTGCCGCTGGTTGGTTTACATTGTTCTTTATATATTTTGTCTATCAAATTACTTGAGAATACCGGCTTTATAGTGGCATTTACAGTCACGAATGATCATGAGTTATTTCAACTGTTCAAGTCCAGCAGTCATATCAACAGTTAAATATTGATTTTCTTTCTTGTATTTTTATTAAAACTATAATACATGATACATATATAATACATATATATATAATAGACGAGGCGTTAATAAAATCAAAATAATCTGTATTTGTAATGAATCAGCAATATTCCAAAATGTAGATTACTGAATGAATTCGAAGAATTATAAAGATAACGTACATTGATCTAGCCCGAAAGTATAAACCGGGATTAGGGCAAATAAAGACCGTTAAAAACAGAATCAGAAGTCATGTGCTCCTTGTCACGATTTGGAAAAAAAAACGTAGAAAAATTTAATGTGTCGAAGGATATGTAGAAAACAAACAGTATTCAAAATCAAAGTCCATAAAACAACTCAAAATAGGAGCAGAGTAAACACGGACCTCTGAAACACCAGAGGTGGGATCAGGTGCCATGGAGGAGTGCGTATCCCCTGCTGACCGGTCACACCGCTCCTTGTCATGATCGTGAAATAACAAAAAAATCCGTCGTCAATTCAGTGTATAGATAATGGACCAACAATCAGTATGAAAAACGTCAGTCGGCATTTGACTCAATGATAAATTGTATTAGCTGACAAATCATTGTATCGACCATAGCACTAACGAAATAATGACTTTAAAGGAGACTGCTGATATTCTTGTTTCATCAACTTTCTTGTCAATAATTTACCTCGTTTTAAAAAGTGTTCATACGTAAAGCATGCTCTTGCGTATGGAATCAACTGAGATATATACACTCCGTATGCAGGTGATGAAGGTATATTGCTACAAAAATAAGGGAAGTTGACGATAAAAATGTTAAGTCATCACGTTTATCATATAGCTTGGTTGTTATTACAATTAACGTCTTTTCAAAATAAGATATCCAAGTATGAAACAGATGTGTAAGACTCTGCGGTATCTGTTTTCTCAAGCTTAGCAGAATATATCGTATTGACGTAGGAATGGATAATGATCGAACAATTAATTTGAAAAAAAAAATGTTGATATAACTGTTTCGCCATCTTCGTTTAAAAAAAATGTTTGTACGTAGAACATGCTCTTGTTTATCAAAACTGGGAGATATAAAAACCATATGCATGTGATAAGGGTACATGTATATAGCTGCATAAGAAATGGAAGTTGACGATTAAAATAATCAAAGTCAAAGTTACCAATAAGGGTCTGTTTATAGTAAAATGTCAGGATGAAACAAATGTGTCAGACTTAGTACAAGCTCACTGGGTCATATGTAGTGGATCTGTAGTCGAAATACAAAATTGTCCAGTTGAAGGCCACATGAAGTGTTTACTTCTTGTCATGTAGAAGTTTTTGGGTATTATCTGTTTCATGTCAATGCAAAAATATATCTACTAATTACCATTTTAATGGGAATGATATTCATTTTAAATATTTTTCTTTGTAATGCTGATTGTCCACGATAAAAGATGGATCATATCAAAGACTCGCTAGCCTAAAAATAAATACTAAATTGAGATATCGCTATACTTCAGACGTACATCTCGTCATTTTTTATGGAGTACACAGGGTAGTGTAAGTCATATTGAGCATAAACTAGAACTGTAATTTGCATGCATACATATTTTTTATTTCCTACTGATGCGAGTAAAATGCGAATACGATTATTTCAACGGAGTTGATTTTTCGAAGAAGGAAACCAGTGATTGACGTACACAAGGTATTCAAGCATGTTAATATTCTTTAAACCCAGACCAAAAAAAAAAACAAATTGAAGTAATAATTATGAGTTAGCGTGACTGAAAGTGTTATGTTTTAAACACGTGATGCAGGTTCATTTTACTGGAGGAGAATAAAAGCTGTGTTCATCTCGTAGAAGTCTTTACCTACATATGTTCCCCCATACTACTTTATTTGTTTTTTCAAACATTTATCAAGAAAGGTAAGTGTTAAAATATTTTTTAAATGATGTTCTTATAATGCTGGTAATATTCATATGGTTTATCGTATAAATTTTAGAATTCAAAATTTGTATGCGAAAACTTTATCTGCTTATGTAGACTTTAGTTCATCTTTGAATTTTTAGTATGTATCCTAGTTTACAGTGGTGGAAATCAATGTAATATTAACATTTATTTAAATATTTCCATTGCCAGTCAAAAGATATATCTTTGATCGATCGTACCATGTGACGTGACTGAAGTTAAATATTAGCACTTCAGATTATTTTAATAAATGATATATTCATTCAACTTGATTTTACACATCTTTTAGGATTTCAAGGCTATTAAGGTAATGTTTGTATTTTAATACACTTTTTTTCCGTTTTTCACTCAGATTTTCATACCCCAGAAGTAATAAAAATCATAATGAATGCGAAGCTTTTTATACTATTACTCCTGTCAATCACCATAAAAAGCAAGGGAGATAAACCTAGTCGGAAACAAACAGATCAATGTTTGACGGAAATGAACTCATTTCGAACACTTCTAAATCTTGCCTCACAACTTGTTAACCTCCAGCAAGCCAATTGCAGCGAAAGAAAAAATGTAACAGCATCAGGAATCCAAAAGAAGGAGAATGAAACAAAATGGGCTACGAAGGAAGATATGGAAGAAATAAAGAAAGAATTGAAATTAATTCATGATTTATTTCGAGACTATGGAGGTCAGATTAATTTTTTTCTTTTAACATGTGCAGAAGTACGGAAGCCCGTTGAGGCCAGTCCAGGGAAAGAAATATTTTTTATTGCGTTTAAATGCAAAAAAACATTGCATTTAATCGCAAAACTGCTTTTAATCGCAATAATTACTGCGTTTAAACGCAAAACTTTGCGTTTAATCGCAATAACCATTGAGTTTAAACTCAAAACGCTTTGCGTTTAATTGCAAAAGATTGCGATTAAACGCAATCTTTTGCTATTAAACACAATAATATTGCGATTTAACACAATACTTTTGGGATTAAACGCAGTAATTATTGCGTTTAATCGCAATAACATTGCGATTAAATGCAACGTTTTTTTGCATTTAAACGCAATAATCTTTGTATGTAAAAGCAAGCATTTCTATTGATCTTTAAAGAATGCAATAGATCCACACTGATATTTGATTCTTTTTTCTTTTGTACATTAATCTATGAGGAGAATTGTGTATTGTTAAGCTTTATAGAATCAGATTCTTATGAACAAGCAGTTTCTGAATGGTTAAATCATGGTATGGATTTTAAAAGGAGAAAGAAGTGTCGGTCTGTAAAAACAAAGACAACCTAAGAAAGAAACAAAGCTTTAGCATGCAAAATTATGCAAAAAATTTTAAAGGAATTTCCAAATAAAAGACTAGAGAAGAAATAACGATGGAAAAACTATCACTCCACATTGCGGTCAAAATATTTACACCATGTGCCTTTATAAAAGGCTTAACGACGTTCGATCCTGATATTTAAGGTCATTGGCAACGCAGGGTTTCCGTAGAAAAAAGATTTATATCCAGGTTTTTTTCATTTATAGAAATAGTCATTGAGAGCGATCTCCCGTATGGAATTCTCTAGGCGGTGAAAACCAATAAAGCGTGTGTTACAGATTGAGAGGTAAACAAAAGCACGTGTGTGTGTTTTATCTGATATGTTCAACTCTACAGTAATAAAAGAATAGCAGAGATGGGTTTGTTTACATTGTGCTGAGGGGGCAGACAGTCAACAGGTCGTCATTTAGAATAAGTACATGTATGCTGGGAAGTGCAAAGAAGTGACATAATTATGCTGAAAGTGCTGATAGCTAGGTAGGCCAGATGAGAACGATTCTATAGGTTTTGTGAAGGAGGCATCATTAAAAGTTAATAATAAATTCTTGCAAAACTTTTTAATGACAGTTCCTTTCAAATAAAGTAAATTATAGTATAGAAATGAACAACCAGTCTCTTGGTCATTATGAATAATAATTAAATGTTAAGAGAAGTAACTCAAAATCAAAGAACAGTGCTGGTATTTCTGTGTTTTGTTTCTATAATTGCAATTTGAGCCAAAGTATATGTTTGTCACCAGAAATGAAGATTCAACAATGTATTTTATGTGTAAACTTTATGAAATAAATGGGTTTTAGAAAAATCTTATGGTTAAAAATAATATAGGACCATTTAATCAACATTTTACATAGGAAATGCATTGAAAATTGTAAAAACATTGATTAGACAAAATCTATAAAGAAAGGCTGGCTTGATGGGTAAAAAGGACCAGAATTGAACATGTTTGGTACCATCAAACCTGTTCAAAAGTTCTTGAAAAATTCTATACAAAATCCAGAAACGTTGCCAATGTCCTTAAAGTCTTAAACTTTTTTTGCCAAGTATATTTTTAGTTTCTACATACCTAGCTTAATTAAAATTCAAATCAAAAAAAATGTGGGTCAATATGCTTCTTTTATCGCTACAGTACATTTAATATGACCTTTCTGCACTGAAATTTGTGTCTTAATTTAGAATTACATCTTCGACGTTTTCCCTACAATATTTTTATCCAATTAAAGCATGAAACAAATGAACTCTAAGTCTGTTTAAAAAAAGACACTTAAAAAATGTGACTATGAAAAAGTTTCAAATTGCTTCGCATAATCAATTATTTGACCTTTTTGCACAAATAAAATGTTATTTTTCCGGCATTGAAAATATAATAAGCAAGAAAATTATTTTAAAGTCTTAAACTTTTCTGATTTTAAGCAAATAGGTCAAAGTTATCTTGAATATTTAGAAAAGAACATCAAAAGTGGGGGTATATGATGTACATTTTCCGGTATTACTAAAAAAGTGTGAATTTTACGTTAAAATTGGTTCAGTTTTTTCTCGGATTTTCAGAATATATTTACTATATTTGTCACACTTTGCTGATAAAATTCATAAGAAATAATTTAGTAGCTATTTCAGAACCAGCATTGCATATTTCACTGCAAAAAAGCTGTGTGTGCAACCAGCATGGAAAAAATAGGTATCCAAAATTAACAGTACTGTTATAGTTCAAATGGAAAAAATGACCATTTTCGTCTAAACAACCTTCCCCCACAAAATATAGTCCCTAGCTTAATTCTACTTGAATGGAATTTAATCGCGTTTTTTTTTACTTGAATATTGTTTAGTTTGCATTGTAGAATTCAGTTTTATTGTTAGAACCTAAAAATGATGCTTAATTTTATGAATAAAGGACCTGCGCGAAATATGCTCAAAATACCAGGATCGAACGTCCTTAAGGAAAGTACTGATGAAATGTTTAGATTTATGTTTATGTACATTATTATTATTTATATGTATATACACAACCTTTTCTTTGATCACATACAGTAAACACGAAAACACGTGAATTTACGAGATGGAATCATATGCAATTAAAAATAAATCAAATTAAACCAGATTGATCGATGTGTACTACCAAAATGATTAATACTAATATTAATACCACTGTGTTGAGATGTGGGTTATACACTTTAAGAACTTGAATAAATGAAGGAAACAAAACAAATGAAATTTTTACAAAATTTAATAAACAAAACAAAAGTAAATTTTTACAACAAAAACAAATAAAAAAAATATAGAAATGAAATGTCAATCAGCAGCACGTCCTGGAGAATGTCCTTTAAAAAGTTACTGTAGGAAATTATTCACAATTCTTTTGCTGAAGATTTCAGTTCTGGATTTGAATTTCCTTTTGTAAACTTATTTTTCTTTCACAAATAGAATTGAATAGAATTTCACCAATATATCACATATAACACATAATAAACTTTCACAACGCCGTCTGGATTAACTTTGGTTTGAATTGATATTATTTCAAACAGGTGATTTCATTATTCAAGATAAACACATAACTTTAAATTGCTGGTCCCTATGTGTCCGTCAGGGCTGTGGTACTCTGTCGTACTCTCTCACACATTTGCCGCTGTTACTGCAAAACCATTACACATTGCAAGCCTCTCCCTGTCACCCCGGACTGCCGACTGGCTATTGTCAATGTAATTAGCTGTAGTACCCCGCCCAAGACCTGATAATTACGAAACGGGACAAAAGCCCGAGGAAATAGGACCCTGGGGAAAAATATAATAAAACAACCATACTAAACGTGTAGACGCACACAAGAAAACATATTTTACAAATTGCATTTTGAAATACCTGATGCAGTTTGAGTACCCGCCCCGGCTACTTCATCATAACAACAAGCCAAACAGGTCTTATCTCGGCTGTGACTTCCCGGGTACTACCCGAACACGAGCTCACAGGTAGATAAAATTACACATCGAGGGGCTCCCCACAGGATAAATAACAACATTTACATTCACGCAATAGGGGTATCCTACGGGATTGAATTTAGTTTGTTACACACTGAAACATTCTTAGTTTGCTGTGATACTTACGGAATTGATTAATGCGTTTTAAAAGTGTTAGATTCTAATAGGTTTACGAAACTATGGTTGTTTATTTGTTTAAACGCAACGATTATTGCGATTTAACGAAAAGTTTTGCGTTTAAACGCAATAATTATTGCGATTAAACGCAAAGTTTTGCGATTAAATGCAATAATAATAATCCTCAACGGGCTTGCGTACAGAAGTTTGAATCTGTTCTAAATGCTTATTTTACTAATCAAAATTTTCTAATTTTGAAATTAAATGAATGCACAGATATGAGAACATTCTATCCAAAAGACTGCCAGGATCTGTACCTAAAAGGTTACAAAAAAAGTAAGGTGTACACAATTTTTCCAAAGAACGGGCTTAGCTTCCAGGTTTACTGTGACCAAGAGAGAGACGGGGGAGGATGGACGGTATAACTTTTTTATTTCATTGATTTTTAAATGTAATTCGGCAACAATTATATTTTATTACACTCGCTTTCAATGAAATGAATTTTATTGTTGCAAAAACCATGTTTAAAAAATGCGTACCCACCAACTTTTTTTTTTTTTGGGGGGGTCTTTTATTCATTGCCATTCCACAATATTAGCATAATCAGAGAATAAATGATATATAAATAATATTTCAAGAATTTTTTGACGGTTTTTCAATCGATAGGTAGGTAAAAAATCATCATACATTGTAGTACGAAATATTTGACCATAGCTTATTATGACGATATTATTTTTTTTTATTTAAGAAAAAGATACTATTAATCTTTGAATTAAAATATGCAAATATTGTAAGAATAACATTTTTTTGTTAAGTTTTAGTATTTTCATGTAGGTACATATATTATCGTCTGTAATGCATTACAAGATGTCTCATTTTGAAGATTCCTCCATATAAAAGGAACAAAAAATACGTCTACTGTTATAACTCTTTTATAAAATTAATACCTAAAAACTTTCCTTTTCCCTGAGAAGAGACTATCTGAAAAATGCTGCCTAAAAAAAACAGAGCTACGCCTAAAGATTATTCCTTTGTGAATATCTATTAATAATTTTAACCGATCACAAATGCATGAACAATGAGTGGAGAATTCTAAATTTTATCATTCTAAGAATCTTGAGTCTCTGACATATTGCTGTTCGCAATGTAACTATGACGTAAAAATATTTCGCTATGCAATTTAGGCAAAATGTCAATAAATCTATTTCTATTTTCAGAAATGAACGAAATTTTTTTTCATTTATTTTCCTTGGTATTGTTGCACTAAAAATAAGAAATACAATTATATGAATTACATTCATATGTGAGTTTTTTAATGCCTCTATATTGTCTTAGAACATGTTTAAAAGCGGATTTAGTTTAATAAATCTCCTATGATTGTTTCGTTATAATAAAACACATACGGCATGATAAGTGTTTAACTGGAAAGCATAGTTAAAAAAATAACTTAATAAAAGTTAGGAAAACACAAAAAATATTGTACGGCTGGTTCTTAAAAGAATAAACTTTTGATTCTTCCGGAAGTAATACATGTTGCTCATCCAGCTGGTACATGTATATTTTTCACGGTGAGTTATGCTGGGTGATATAAATGATTAAAATCAAAATAGATACATGTAGATCATGCATTTGACATGTTTGTATTTCATATGTTTAACTTTAGGTTATACAAAGGAGACAAGATGGATCTGAAAATTTCTACAGAACCTGGAATGACTACGAGCAGGGATTTGGAAATCTTTCCTATGAGTTTTGGCTAGGTACAATGAAGATTTCATTTAAATAAGGAGTACTTGTTTTTACAACACAGGCATTCTTTACCTCAGATCTTGAAAGATAATAATTTTCTTGTACAAGGTATCTCATATAAAAATTTAAACAACTAAACCTAAATGAAATATAAGATCACTGAAAAAATTGCAAACATGATGAATAATTTAATAGTATAAAACGTTTTCTGGGGATGTGATTGAAAACTTTTGCCATCGACAAAATCATTTGTTTGCAGTTTTGACATTTGTTTCAAAGAATAATTGAAAAGATCAACGAACATTCATCTATTAATATCTTTTATTAAGTTTGAAATTTTCAAATATCTATATCTGATCAGCCATCCTGCTTAAATTATAAGAAAATTGGATCTTCATTTGGAACGTTAAATATTTTTAAATAATTTTTATTTAATTTTATATACACTGTACTTAGTTCCATACACACTTAAGAATAAATCAACACATTGTTTTAAATATTTTAAAATATAAAATGTAGAATTTCTAACTGTAAACTTGCAAAAGTCTTCACACAATTTTCATTCAACCGTCAATTTGTTAGGGTAGGATGGTTAAAATTCACATTCAAATTATATAAGATCATTTGTATTTTATTGATTATGTGAATATATTTGAATACACTTATTGAGTAATCGAATATAACTTATCGACGTCCCTATTGTGTTTTTCTCATGAAGCAAATTCATTGTATCTCGTGGATGACAGTATCGTAATTTTTCAGGAAATGACAGAATCCACATAATGACTGGAACTGGAAAATACAAATTGCTAATCAACATGGAGGATTTCTCTGGAAATACCCGATATGCTAGTTACAAAACTTTTAAGGTTGGAGATAAAAAATCCGGATATGTTTTGAATGTCTCAGGATACAGAGGAACCGCCGGTGAGTCAAATATGTGATAATTGTAAAGTAAATTCTATCTTAAATGCTATATAAGTTCATTTAGTTTTTGCATGAACATTTTTTCTCTTCAGGCGATTCCTTGACGTACCACAACAATATGAAATTTGCCACAAAGGATCGAGATCATAATTCTTGTGCAAAGAATTTTAAAGGGAGTTGGTGGTACAATGACTGTCACCAGTCAAATCTGAACGGTCTCTACTTGAAAGGAAAGCAAAAGTCAGATGCAGACGGTGTGAATTGGAAACACTGGAAAGGATATTTTTATTCCCTGAAATTTACTGAAATGAAAATCAGGAAACTCAACATTTGAAAATCTTCTTAGAGAAAAAGAAAAGGAAAATAAGAAATATAACACAAAAACTTTGTCAGAAATGAAAAATACATGTAATAAATGCCAAGATGAATGCTGTGTTTCATTTCTTCAGATTTTGCTCTCATTTTCCAAAGCATATCTTTTAATCTATGATTTTAATTTCGATATTATTTACTTTGTCACTTGTCTTGTTAATAATATGAGGCACATTTTATGAATAGTTGAATTCACTTTGATGCCGATACGTTATGATGCTGATACAGTATTATACAAAACCACCTATAAATACAATAAAATGTCATGGGAAAACATCCCTAATGAGAATAAGTAAAATATCTGTCACAAGTACATGTATCTACAATGACATCAAATCTTTACAGGTCGCAAATTTTCTTCACAGATTACCCAAAGATATAAAGTTCCTTTTCATAAAAAGTAACGTTTTTCATGTTGAAGTCGTACATAGATTAAAAAAAATTCCGCATTTCATAGGATTTGTTACAAAATTTAGAAAAATCCCTTAACTATATTTTCTAATGGATATTGCAAAAAAAAAAAAAAATAAATAAATAAATAAAAAAATAATATTAAAAAAATAAAAAAAATAATAATATATACCTTTTTTCTGGGCTTGATTTTTTTGCTTGTTTGTTTGTTTTTGTGAAAATTTACATAAATATCAATATAAAAATCAAATTTATTCAAGTTTGTGTAGCAGTTGGCAGTAAGCAAATGACAGTTGGCAGTAAGTAGTTGGCTGTTGTATATGGCATTCCATACCCCTACTAATGTGTTCAGAATTTTTATTTTTCGGTGTTCCGCAAAACCTAAGGAGTTCAGAGAAGGTATTATTATTTTAAATAAATTTTTTAAGTGTATTATTTCAAATTCTGATCCAAATATAATACCGGGTAATTTTTGGTGAAGCCTTTTGATGACTGAAACACATTTTCTGTAATCCAAAAAGCAGAAATTCTTAAATTTATTGAGTATTTGAGTCTAATTAACAAACAAGAAATTAGGAGATCTAAATTGGTTTAATTGATTTCGAAATCTTAACCTAAAAAGGCCAAAAACTCGTGTTGATTCAGTTTCATTTATCATGAAGAAATAAAGGGAGTGGATTATGCGTACAAACTTTATAAATAAAGAGAAAATGTTTTTTCTTTGGACGCTAAAGAAAAATCGCTGAAATTAGCAACTAAACTTTCAAAAATTTCATTTTACTGTATATTAGATGAGTGGTTTCATGATTGTTTATTTTGTGTATTATATGTTTTTTTCTAGGTGTGTTCAAATATCTTTATTAAAATAAAAATAATAAAAAAATATCGTTGAAATAGCACCTTTTAAAAAATGTCTTTATACTTTATATTGTAAATAAAAAGCCTAGAGTGGTTTCAGGATTGTTAATTCTGTGAATTATGAGAGTATTTAAACACACCTAAAAACAAATAATACATACGAAATAGCATTTTGAAACTAATTCAGCGCCTATGCCAGAGACGTACAAATTTTGCCAGCGGCGAACAGATTCGCACGTGCACATATCGACGCATGGCTGGACGTGTCAAAATTTCCTTTAAATTAAAATTCATTTATTTAATAAATCTTTTCCAGGTCATCTTATAGTATCGTTAACAAAGTGTAATAGGGGGTAGAATTGTTAACCTTTTCAAAATCGAAGTTATGGTGATCTGGTTCCGTTCACATTATTGCCAAAAACAAAATTTATAAAAGAATGTAATATTATTATGTTTTGCCAGAAGATTTATGGTAGGGCTCACAATATTTCTTAGCAGTCAGTCCTGCATGTCTAGCTAATTTAAGGACGAGTTTCCAACCCAGTAACTAAACATGAGTAACGTCATTTGGTTCACTTAACAAAATATTTTAGCATAAATAAGTTGTAAAGATTTAGTTCTAATTTAGTTCTAATTCCAGTATACAAAATATATATCCGTTTGCGTTATCATTATAAATATTGCATGTAGTTGACTGTAGTTGAGTGTAACATTGAACATTTTCACCCCAAGAAATCATTGTAAACCGAGGCGCAGACGGGTGAAAATTTTCAATGTTACACTCAATTACATGCAATATTTATTATATTGTACTGAATATTTTATACAAATACGTATAACAGTGAACCGTGCGCGCATAAATTCTGCACAGTCGCTATTTTTTGGAATATCATCCGTCGTCAAGCAATGTTGACTATCGCTACGCTGGAGGGCGTGTCTTCATTATTCAGCGGTAATAGTGTTTTTTAACAAATAATTCTCGACCAATCGCATTCAACTAATTTACAAGAAAGTATAATATTACAAATTGTGTCGAGATCAACGCAGGATGTTTTAATACTAAAAGTAGCAGCTGACTTTTTAGGATTATTACATTTAGCGTTAAAATATTTATCATTAACACTTTAAAATATTTATATATAAAAGAAATGCTATTTATTCGCCCAAATTTAACAGGAATAATCGACTGAAATGTGAGGACCAGACAGCCCCTTGACAAAGGACTGAGACAGAGCTATCTCAGCCAACCCTAATTCCAAGATGTTGTCTCATTAAGTCCAAAACGCCTGTATTAGGGCTGATATTTTACTGAATGGGAGAAAGAACCCTGATAGATAGATGTGAATATGTTCTCTTTCCGATACAAAATGGAATTTAAAGTAAAAACCCTTTTAAAAGAAAGACCTGATGTCTATATATGTCAATATAAATGAGGAAGATTTTAAAGTTTTGTTAAAGTAAGCATAATTCGAGCTGCATTCTAAAATGGAGAGCTTATACCAAATACATTTGTCGACAAATAGAAAATTTAACTTTTAAACAAGTGCACGTGATTAATTGTAAAATTTTAGATGCATTTGTTTAATATCAGGATTTGAAAAAAGTGCTTTGTTTTGAGAGAGAAAACTCTGAATTTCCCATTCTAGTATATAAAATATTATTTGAATAATGAGAAAAAAGTAAAAAAAAGATACCTATTCAAAAATGCTTCTTTACTAACCGTAGGATTTTAATCAATGTGATATTTCTTCATACATGTACTACAGGGTAGTAATTAAGAACAATAAGATAATGTTTATGGAATTGTTTCGTTAGAAGTGGCAGAAAATTTACTTGCGTCAGATTTCGTTTAGTTACAACGAATGCATGCATATGCTGTGACTTCCATACGCAATTATTTGTATTGCAACTGGTCATGTGAGTTAGATATTAATAATAAATGTCGATAGTGACATATAATCCGAGTATTTTGTTAAGGAAGGATTGAGAAGCTTTATCATGTATGGTGAGAATTCTAAACAAGTATTGCAGACGTGGAAATGAATGCACATCATTTGCTGTTTGTTTTATATGTAGTATTTATCCAGTCAATTATAGCTGAAACGTTTAAAACCACTGCAAGTTTTAAAAATGTAATAGAAAACACGAACAAATATTCCACAGAAAATGTTCTACAAGAATTTCTAGGAACTGCGAGTGTTTCTAGGTGTTTGGCATCATGCCTCCATTATTCTGACACTCTCTCTGTGTTTTACAATAACGACCTTCAGAGTGTGTTTGTGCTGGCCAGGTGGGGAACGGTGACCTAACGCCTTCACCTGGATATGTCCAGTTTTCCAAAAATCATTCAGGTATTTATATTAGCAATTCATGTCATCTATATATTTTTTCTATTATCATTATAATCATTTGGGGATTCATAGCTTAAGGTCAAGATATAGTAAATGAAAGGTGCCTACAGATTTATCATATTTGAGGAATAAATTCCGTTAATGATGTTTATAACTTTAGTTTGGTCAACTAAGGCATTTCGGGTCATAATTTGTAGGTAAACAAGATGAAAAACCGTAATTAAAATTGTCATTTTCAATGAAAAATTGAGAAAACCAGTCTTGAACATGGAAGTGTTTTTTTCTATTCGACAAATGAAATGTATCCAGATTGCCTACAGCCTCTCAAAAAACGGTAATGTGTATGTTCATGGCGTCTTCTTTAGAATGATAACAAATTTAATATAGGTATTACTTTTCAAATAATTTCGCATTGAATGCCATGAAAATACCTTATTTTCTACATAATTCTGCTAAAGTCGTAAAGTACGGGAAAAAGAAAGTTGGAAATGATTGTGACGTCATAATGGATTTAGCACCATAAAATGAATTTAAAGTCATTTACTAGATCTTAACGTTAACACAACTATACCATTTTGATATCATTTTTGTAAGAAAGTAATTATAGACCAGATTTTTAATAAATTAAGCAGAAAGACAAAACACTGAAATTTAATCATCTTATTGACAGCTTCTTGAACGGACAAAATCTCTCAAAACCTGAATACGTGTAATAGAAAATGACATTATTTTAATATGATTCTGAAGTATCTCTTTACTGGAAATGTACCATATAAATGTAGATATAAAATTTAAGATCTGCAAGAGGATAAATGATTTTGTGGGCTTCATTACAGACACACCTAAGTGGATTCCTTTCAGGAATTCCCAGTACCTTATTCTGAAAAGAAGCGCAAACTGGATTGAGGCCCAAGTATGTATATCTATTACTGGATGATTCTTTTAGCACTGGTATTTAATTGATTGGTCGTAGCCTAATTCTTCCCCATGTTTGTATGAAAAAATGGTAAATATGTGATGCATTTTAGCCTTGTGGTAGTTATATAACCCGAATGAATTCTGCTATTGTACGCCCAAAAATTTTGTCCATGATATTCCTCGCAGACGGCTGGGATAATAGTGCTGAAAATTTCATAAAATGTGCAGATATAAAATTAACAATTGATATGGAAGATCATGAAGTTTCATTCATAAATTTAATTCAGTTCTGCTGATGGTATCTGATACCCGGGTATTTTGCCAGCGTTCTTTCTTTTTCTATTTTATCTATAGAATTTATAATTATTTTATTTAGAATTAATTTATCTTTAAAAATATCAAGTGAGAGCTGTACAAACGTATATCGGAAATTTCACGGTTCCTTGTGAATATATTAGTTGCATATGAATACTTTATTTAATGATAGTTTAACTTATTTGAAATTAATTTCCATCGTTTTTATTGATTTGAAATGCCTGAGATTCGCTCCCTCCTTTGCGTGAAAGCCTCATCACCACTGTACACAAACATACCGCAGCCGGAAATGCTCGTAATTTTGCTATCTAAGAAAGTTTGCACATAGTTTGTCATCTCATAAAAATAAATTAGCCCCCTGTTTAATGCAGAAATGCCCGAATTGAAGAAAATTAAGGAATTATTTTACTTCAGCCATGTTTTGAATGCATTGACGGAACTCAAAACAACATAATGACATCACACAGTGTCGAGACATCTTGTGTAAGGTACTTGGCTGATGGAAGGCACTTTCTTTGAAACATGAACCTCCCTCAACACTCTGTTAACGCACCCCGAGAACGTGTGATGTGTAGCGTATGCAGAAGAAATTTTCTAGGGAGGTAGCATATATGTGTGCTTTTCTTCCGTTCTCTACCTAAACTAAATAAAAGCAATAAGAACTGTGTTGTTAAATTCTGTAAGAATTTGTAGTTTTGTCTTATTTTAACGTTCAGATAACAAGAAAACTCTGTTTTAAAAAAAGTGTAAACTTATGAATGATTATCTACTCGTACCCCCTCCGTAGCAGAACGGCAACGAAGAATATTTCTCTAAACTTGAAACTGGACGTCAGAGAAACAAAATGAATTTAAAGTTCCACAGATCAATTCCCTTGAAAATTCGGCTCCTGAATATATCTTCTTTCTTTTTTAATTTTACGTCAATGTTTAATGGTGGTAAAATCCGTGCAGAAAAAATAATCGTTTAAATAAAATCTAGCTGCAGATCTGTAGCGTTATGTTTTTTTTATATTAGCATTTGTCCATAACGCTACAGATCCCCTGATGCAAAAAAGGTGTTATTTACGGCGCAATATTTTTTTGCATACTTTAATTCGATTTTCAAGCAACTGTCGATTAACTACCCTTCACTCCCTAATTCTAGGAACATTATTTAACTAATCTGTATATTTTATCCATCTTCCAACCCTTTATAGTCGTCCCTACAAAAGATAAAGTCGTTTGATTTAAATTATTTGTTACATTGCTTAAAATTCACTTTAAGCTTGTTTATTTCCTGTAGAGACAACTATAAATAGTTGTAAGGTGGATAAAATATACAAATTGACTACAGAATGTGTTTAGAATTAGGGAGTGAAAGTTAGTTGATTGACCAATGCTAGAAGGTTGAGAAATTCTTCCCAAAAAGTGTGCAAAAAATATTGCGCCGTAAATTGCACCTTTTTTGCTTTAAGGGATCTGTAGCGTTATGGTCAAAGATAAATATACGAGGGCTGTTCGAAAATGATTGAGACATTGCGTGTATTTTGCTTTCAAATGAACTATTTCGGTAAAATTTTGCATATACATTTGACACACACTAATACCTAATAAAAACAAAAAAATATTTTACGAATATTTCCTCTACAATGATTTACAAATGCGTTAATAGTAGGGATATCCGGAGCAGTCACGAAATCAGATATTGAAAATATGCAACATCAACGTTCTAACTCTTCGTGGATCCATAATAAGAGCGAAAATAAATCAGTTTAGGTGTATAATATTTCAGCTTTATTTCAAATTCATGTTGTGCAACTTTGATAGAATTTTGATCAGAAATACAGAGATCGTAAAAAAATCAAGCATGGTAGAGAAATCTGCTAACAACGACAAAATGGATTCTGACGTCAAGGGCAGAGCAGCCGGTATGCCTAAAATTTTGCGTAGCGCAATGTAGAACTCTTTTTTCAAGACTGAACGACCTGCAAAACCAACAACAACGAGAATAAAATAATGTGCTATAGTTTGTTATTTCATTGATATACATTTTTTTTTTTACAATTAATTCAACCAGAGTAAATTTGAAAGCTCTGGACGACCATGAGTTATTACGTACGGTATTAATAATGTTACGGTATGAAACCCGCATTGCATAATTCTGCACTGCATGATTCTAAGTCATCATTTTCCAAAAAATTAAATTGTTTACAGGGGTAGCAACAGCATACATTTTAAAAGAATAATATAAGAAAAGATACTGTTTCATAGTTGTAACTTTATGTGTAATAACAAAGAAGTAAGAGTATTAAATACTTCCCGATCACTTTACATGCGAAAACATCTCCGACTGACGTGACGGTAAAATGACGTAGCGATGCTGCTCCAGGTTGATACACATATGCATGTTTATTATTTTACCGAAACTTATCTAATTATAGGAATAAGAAATTTTGCTCAAGTGTTTTATTCGTTCTATATATAATGTTGTTGAATTTTCATAAAATAATCTCCGTCCTTTATGGAGTTCATGTAATTGTCTCAATAATTTCCGAACAGCCCTCGTATAAAACCTTAACGCTGCAGATCTGCATCTAAATAAAATCTAAATGAGGACAGGAGACTGCGTTTCCTCCAAGTGGCACGGCACACAGAGTCTCCGATTTTCAAATGATAATAATTGTCATCCCGACTAAAACTATCCAAACCTTAGTCTCTTTACCGATTGTTTTATTTTCACGACTCATTAGATTAACCATTCACAGAGAAAACAATAAAATGATTCATAATTTATCGTTTCATGATGAATATCTCATAACATTTTTATTTATGAATATTTATTTATGTTCGAAAATAATTGGCAGTTTCACATTCAGGCCATTTGCAAGGTTCCAGCTGGCTTTCGTATAGATTTTTCAAGAACTCTTGAGTAGGTTTAATGGTACTTAACGTGTTATATTCTGGTTCATTTGACCAGATTTTACTAAATAGCGCCTCCCTAGTTATGGTAAATACTGTATGTACATGTAACGATCTGTTGACTGTTTGTCCTTTGAGCACAATGTTTAACAAAGTCACGAGTACTTTTCTTTCTTGCTGTAGAGATGAATTTATCCATTGCTTTTGTTTATCTCTGTAACATACGCTTTATTGGTTTTCTTTGTGTATAGAATTCTATACGGGAGATCACTTTCAGTCACAGTTGTATACGTGACAAAACCTATGAATTAAACATTTTTTCACCGGATGTCCGAGAATTGCCAATGTCCTTAATTATTAAAATTTTCCTGTCAAAGTCACATTGTGTAGGGAGGAAACTTTCGAATTCAACAAGTAACATAACTTAAATGATTGTACATAAATATAGTGTCATTCCGTCTTGTTTTCCCAGTGGGTTCAAGATCAATAGCACTAGCTATTTCATAAAACGGTTTTGCTTTCTTATATACACTACGAAAGAATTAGAATGTTAGGTTAATTCTAAGAAATTGAGTCCTGGTTTATCTCCTCAAATCTGACAATCATTACAATGTTTATTATTTAAGTTAGCCCATGCCTCAAAACATCCTTTCAATTCTCATTTTTGAAGGTCTAAATTTTTTTAACATATTTAGTGCCACATTTTGATAATTTTTTCCCATCTTTATTTGGTAAAATATTTTGAAAATCTTCATTTAAGAGGATGAGCTGTCTCTTCGAAGGGAATTTATGAGATGCAGTGAAGGATCTTATATTTATCATTTTTTTTAGTTCATTTTCTATTTTTATTATTACTAAAACACCTTTCCTTAATGTACGAGTGCCATTCGATACAAATGAAGAAAAAATCAAGTTATTTTTCTTAAGTTTTCTGACGGGTTAGGGAATGCCATTAGTACATGATTCAGAAGAAGTAAAACAAGAGTTTTCAGAAGAGTTATCATCCCACTAGGCGTTAGATATCTCGTTCTCCACTGACTAATGGTGGGTTTATTTGTCATAATTTTGGTTCATATTTACATCTTTTAATTTCATTCAATTCAACACCGTAATGAATTCCAAGTAAGGTAAATCTTGTACATTTCCGATTAACTTTGTACTCATGACTTATTTCTTCTTGACTATTTTTTTTGGAACCGACCTAAACTGCATTGGATTTTGAAAGATTTATACATACATTTCTGAAAATTTGTTAAATGTTTTGCTACCTCTGCTCATGATTCTTTTCAACAATCTAACGGAATTGAAGTTTTATCTGCTAATTGTGATATTTGCTTTTCCACATTTTGTACCGAAATTTCGTTGATTTTTTCTTATCAGAATTGCTTAAAATTCTGCACACAATAACTACGCGTTTCCACACCTGCAACAGAACACGAAGTCACCGATTTTGAAATTGATTATCCTACCTAAAACGATCCAAGAATTTGCAGAGGTCTTGTTTTATTTTCATGATTGAATAAAGCATTCAGATATAGAACAAAAAATTGGTTGATTATTTATCGCTCCATTGTGAATCCCTCCATAATATTTCTATTCATCAATATTTTAGTAATGTTCGCAAAATAATATTCAGTTTTACATTAATTATTTATTTTTTTCTGTCAGAGTCGCACGGTGTCAGCAGTATATCTGTCAAACATTTGCAACGCAATACATTTTGTCGGAATATGCCTATATTTTATTTGAGATATATGAAAGACAGATAATTTAAAGAACTTTGCACAAAACAGATATTTTACTCAAATTCATAATCAAAAAGCCATTTGCGGTAAGATTTATGTATGGAACATCATATTTACGAACACAAATTTGGGTGTTGGCTAGCATGGATATTATATTGCCCATTAAACAATCGTCTTCAGAAATATTGTACTACACTTTTTCCCATCTACATTGTTCCTGTATTTATTTCATTGTTTGACAGAGTGTTTGTTTTATTTTGTTACTTTACTTGGTACTCAGGACCTTCGAACAGTTAGGGTTCTTTATCATGGAAACGCCTTTGCTGTTTAAATGGACCTCGGTTTCTTACGTCCCATCCGTAAGACTTTTTACCTGTGACTTTCATTTCTGGTGCGTGGTGTTTGGCGAAGATACAGTCTCTATCTGTTTTTGCCTTTAAGGTTTGACGCGACAAGAACAACGAAAATCAAACACGGGACCGTATCACAAAGCAAGCACCCTTTCTCAAAGCTACCGCGAATGGTGCCTGTTGCTATATACATTTTTAATAATTGATATGCATAACTTTTTTGTAAACTGATTATGCATGCAAAACATTGAAGGAAAGTGACGAATACTAATTTACCTTAATTTAAGGTCGAATAATTTTTACATTTTTGGTACTATTTTTATTGATTTAAAAAAAAATTGTATCTGATTAATATTTCCATTTCATGTTAACCTGCAGTGCATTGTGTTATTGGAATTTTTATTCCTTATTTTGAACTTAGCATGAAGCATTTCTTTCAATTCACAGGTGGATCTTTTGTGGCAAATATGAAGGAATTTAAATATGTAACTTAAAGCTGATCGCGTCCTGTAAATAGTCGAACGCTATATTAGTTCTTCTGTCTCCAGTATCAGCACGGGGGTATTCCCTTCGGATTCGTTACACCTGACTGCTTTCTGAAGTCGAATAGTAATGTTGAATGAACGATGCGTGTTCAAGTTGGTTATTATGCATTAATTTGTGTTTATCTGTGTGTTTATTTGTAATGACCTCGCAACTGTTGTAAGTTTCGAATTCTATAGTAATTTTTTCTCCTGCCATTTAAAGAGGAACACAGTTACTCTTTTCGTTACCGACTGTTTCACATTATATATATATATATATATATATATATATATATATATATATATATATATATATATATATATATATATATATATATATATATATATATATATATATATATTATATATATATATATATATATATATATATATATATATATATATATATATATATATATATATCACTGAACCGTGACTGAGTGACCAGCTTTTCAGGGGCCTCAGATATCTGGACATGATAAAACATGTAATGTATGTAACAAGTCTAACTGATATTTATTTCACCCCCCCCCCTTCCACGTGTAATATTGTAGGTGTGTGTCTCACTCTGTATGTAAGTGTGTGTATGTCTGTATGTGACTGTGTCATTAAATATATTTAAATGTTCGCTTCTGAACATATACATGTACGTCATTTGTTGTTTCTGTAAATTAATATACAATTATGGACTTCAGTGTAGGTCGATATGTGGTTATAAAGACTCATGACAATGGATATTGACCTCAGACACAGAAAGTGATAGCGACCGAGCCTGCGAGGTCGCTATCATTTTCTGTGTCTGAGGTCAATATCCATTGTCATGAGTCCTTATAACCATATTTTGGCCGTTCACTGAAGTCCATAATAGTTATATTATATAATCACACAAAGCGAATGCACCGACATAGACCTAAACGGACTTGGCTGTCATTACGTCACAATGGTTAAAACGCTTCTTATATTATGACGTCACGTTCTACGTAACTTCAGTGCAACCGAACTGCACGTGTACCAGTACGTGTAAAACGTCATTTCAGCAAGGCACTTTAGAATTCATTTATATCAAGTAAATCTATGACTTGAAATAAAAAGATACATTGGATGTACATAATAAAAAAATAAAATTCTAAAATTCATACAAAACACCAGCTTAAAAATATACTTATATTCTCTAGTTTGAGTTTCCATGGAAATTCCAATAGATTGATGGAAGATGGATATAGTTCCACAAACTTCAAAGAAAGAGAAACCAAAAAGCATTTTCAGCTATTCTCTTTTGTGCATGCTTCTAGTAAATGTCATATAAAATAAGCATTTAGAACAAGTTAAAGTAAGAAATTTTCATTTACGATAGTAATAATTTTTCGATCCTTATCCCCGAAGAGCATGCACTACATGAATATTTTTGCTCATTACTTTAGACTTTTTAAATGTAAAGTTTGATGTATTGTCAGAAAGGCTTGGTAATATAACACACTGTAATATCTATACATGCCATGTTATTCAACATCCTCAAGTCAATCTTACATCAGATAAATTTAGCTATAAATTTTGTAATATCTCCCAGATCCAATAAATCTTACATCTTTGTTGAAAGTTGAATTTTGATGTTGCAAACATAGACATATAGATATCGATGTCGATGGAAAATAAGATCAATCCAACATAGATATTTAACAAAATACTATCTTTGTGATGCTAAAACTTCTTTGTTTTTCAGATCGAATGTGCCGCAGTTGGTGCACGGTTGGTTGAGGTAGAGGATACAGAAGAAAACATGTTCTTAAAGAATCTTGCTCGAACATCTAGCCTGGGTATCGGTCATTTTAAAAAAAAATAATTAACTATTTTAAATATTTATATAATTTTTTTCAGATAGGGTATTTCATAAGAATATGTATGTAATCTATATATTTTAAGGTCCACTTCTTTTCTTGGGAGGAACGGAGGTCTTCGAAGAGGGAAGCTGGATATGGTATTCAACACTGAAGAACATTAGTTTCACTGACTGGGGCCCTGACAAACCTGATTACGGAGGAACGGATTTCTGCTTAGTCCTTTATTCACCATTTGATTACGCTTGGGATGACTTTCCATGTGGATTTAAAGTGAACAACACTATTTGCGAACGAGTTGTTGTTTAAAGAAGTTTCATCTGAAAACATCTTTGGGATATTAAAACGAGTTGGTCACGTGCTTACGTAAAACCCGTATTAATATGCTGTAAGATGTTTACAGATGATGCTTTGTTACTGATATATATGAGTAACATTGCCAAGTGTATTTGTATTTCGTTTTAATCCTTTGAATTTTTTTTAAACTACAACAAATGAAATAAACTTGTTTAGGGAACAGACAAAATTTATCATATTGATAGAACCAGTACAAAAATAATCATGACAAAAATGTCGCATGGCTTGCATATTGAAAACAAAGATTTGTCACATGTTTTTCGACTACAAAACGTTCTTGTCCCATACATACTTCTTGTTGTTCGTGAAATTGTTGTAACAGAAATAATAATAAAAAAATAACATGATGGTAACAATTATTATATACACTATATTAACTATAGTATACATGTATAGTATGGATGAAAAGAAATGCAAGATACTTTCCCTCAGTATGAATTTTAATGAATCATATGGAGATAACTAACAGCATTCAAGATCGAAAGACCATAAAACATTACAACATACGAGCAGAGCAAAGACGGACCTCCAAAACATCAGATGTGGGATCAGGTGCCATATTTATATATCTTTCAACAACTGTAAAGAAATTGCACTTTAATGAATGGTATAAACTGCATACACTAGAGGTAAATGTCAAATTTTGAATATGGGAAATGTCTTAAGATTCATACTCCTTCTTCTCACACATGAAAAAACTTTAAAAATAATGGTTTAATTTCCTAAAGACATCCAAATTATTATAAAATGCATAGAATTTAAACAGACTTTGTAAGATGTTTGAAAGAATAGTATTTTAAGTTGATATTTCTTTATTACCTGACAAGAATATAAATTATCATTTTTTCATTATTAAATGTTGCACTTTGTATCCTTTGTTTGACTTTATTAGATATTATACCGTATAACTGGTTATTTAAGCGGGGTGTTATAAATTTTTAACTTATTTTGGCGTTTTAATTGTAGCCCGCTTAAATTTCATTCGCTTAAATATATTTCGTAATCTACTTAGTGTTCATCTGCAATGAGATGAATTTTATGAGCATTATTTTTAGTATAATGCTACTTCAAAGGAACGTTCACGTTACTTATTGAAATTTTAATATTAATGAGGTCGCGTACGTCAAATTCAATTTCCAAACATTATTTTAGAAACTACATTTTTAAATGAACCTTGATCATTTTGACACATATTAAACTTGAAAAAATTCAAGCAATCACAGTGAAATTATTCATGACGGAAGTTGCATACTATTTTCATACTACATTAGAGCAGATCTAGTAATTTTGTTAAGGGTGGGTTTTGGGTCTAGAGAGGTTTTTATTTAGTCGAAAAATTAATACTTGTTGAATATGTTCTGAAACGAGACAAGCTTTGGAAATCAATTCGTTGAAATAAGGATATCAAATGTCTGGTTTGAAGACAACTTTTGCTAATTCTATGGTCGATATTAAGACCTTGTCAGCAAAAAAAAAAATGTCATTTAGAGTTTTGACGGACGTTGTTCATGCAACGCCTATGGATATTATAGATTCGCTCTAAATTGTCCACTGATTTTTCTATTTACCTAATAGGGAAGCACACTACAGGTAAAACCGCGGTCAAGAGGGACTCCCTACTCCTTAATTGACCTGGTTTAACATATGTTATCATTTTTATTATATGCTCTGCCCCTGACTCGCACTGCTTCAGTGGACTGTGGGGAATGAACACTGATGGTACAATCTTCACGTTTCACGTTTTATACGAAAAGTTCAGAAAACATAGCTGTAAAACAAAACAAAACTGAATACACAACTCATTTTTTAAATTAAAGTCGTTGGCTCTTTTGAGTTTTTACAGTCAAAAGTGTAGAATACAACACCTCCAAAGATTCTGAAGCAGTAAGCACATGTACCTTACTAAGTTTTTCATCCTCACAACGTCTGGGTCCTGAGTCAACACCTTGCCGTTTGATCCCTGACATATGTTCTTTCAAAATATGTACGCATTTTCCTCCCATTTAGAAACACCAATCAAGTTAAAGCTAACATAAACAGTTAGGTAATGTGTACCAAAAAGATTCAATTGACCCTCAAATGCACGTGTTACAAGTTGTTTATTATAAAATGGCTTCATGCGATTTGCTGAGGGGTAAGAAAAACAAGCAGAATTTGTAATTTTTCGGAAAGGTGTCGCTTCAGTCAGCCCAAGAATATTGAATGAAATATGCCAGGATTTCATCGGTAAGGTACTCAACGGTACTCATGACGCTGGCATTGTGACGATGTAGGTTTTTAAAAACAAATATTTAATAATGCATTTGCAGTTCATTATTCCAGCTTGGTAAACTTTCTGGTTATAAAGCTAAAAATAATTTAAATACTTATCAACATATTTGCAAATTAACTTTTGTAATTGCTCGTTAAGATTTCGGCACTTGAGTTGTTGTTAGTTTATTTTGATATCAAAATACCCCCCCCCCCCCTTTTTACGATGCAACTTTCAATTGTTTAATAGATTAAATCTGAAGTACAATCACACATTTTTATCATTTATCAGCAGATTCACTTTATTAGATTTGCATTTCTAGACGATTTTGGAATTTGTCCATGTATTCCTAGTTATAAAGATAATCAATATGAATACGTTCAATATGTGCCGACATTCTCTTGAAACACGTAAGAAATAAACAATCGAATAGACTATAATAAAAAAATCTCAGAAATCAAACCAAACCTGTTGGACTCAAAACAATTTTTAATATGATTGCCGATTAGCGTGACTTTGTAAAAATATCATATTTCGAACATATGCTGCATGTTGATATATGGAGAATAAAACTTTTTTATCTTTTACATCTCGTGATTTTTATTCACTGGACATTTCATTACCAGAAAGGAGAAAGGGAGGTGAATATTTCAAATACTTAATGTTGACTTTGATTCTACAATTGTTAAGTTATATTATGTATATTATATAAATTATGAGTTTTCTCATCAACGATAAAAAAAAAATAGATTTTGAAAAGATTTTGAAAAGATAGTTTACAGGTAGATATGAATGAAAAACGGCTGAAATATTATAGAAAAATAATTTCCTGATCATGCACAAATTTTAATTTACTTTCTAAATTTTGATAATTCCAAGCATAGCATTATAATATCAATTGACTTTATCCTCAATGAATATGAAGAAATATAAACTCGCAGCTGGTGTACTGATATTGTGACCATTTGTCATTTAATTTTAGAATTACTTGGAAATTTATGACCAGTAAATTTAAGTCTATGATAATTAAACATCACATGTAATTAAATTTCAGTTACATGTATATAACATCATACTGTACATTCTCCCGGAGATTTCTGAAGTGACAATTATTTAGACAATGTACATATATAAATCGTTTTCATTTTTTTTCTTTTTCAAATTTTATTTGCGTTGGCTTCGTGATCGGGAGGCCCGGGTTCGATTCTCGTTCGCGGCGCCGCGTCATACCTAAGACGTAAACAAAGGTAGTGACTGTTCCTTCGCCAAGCGCTCGGCACTAGAAGTGAAAGTCACGGGTCTTTCGGATATGACCTTAAAAACGTAGGTCCCGTGTCACGGTAGGCGCTGGAACGATAAAGAACCCTCACTGCTCAATGGCCCTGAGTGCCGAGTATAGGTCTAAATTTGAAGCCCTTCACCGGCATACGGTGACGTCTCCATATGAGTGAAAAATTCTCAAGAGGGACGTTAAACAATATACAATCAATCAATCAAATTTTATTTAGAAAAAAAAGAAAATAGCAAAAATCCTAAAAGAATTTCTTAATACACAATAAATATAATTATTATTTTTTATAATTCAAACTTGTTTCAGGGATATACATTTTTTTGAAAATGATTAGATCATTACCTTGGATGAGTTTCCTCTACTGTAGGTAGTAAAATAATTAATATTTTGATTGTTATTTTACATTGGTTGATTTGATTCTGGTTTGAAAAGTTTTAACTTGAAAGAAATGTAATTCAAGACCTCCAATATTCTAATTTTAAATATTTTAAAACGATCTAAGAAGTTTTTTTACCTTAAACATATAACTCGTGGGGTAGGACCGGAATCTTTAGAGTAGAGCTATGAAGATTAAATTACAACAGAAATTGTTCTGTTGTTTCGATGAAGTTGTAGTTAAAAACTAAATTTCGTAGATTTATGCAGTATGTTTTTAAGTTTAATGTTCTTTATGTCTTTCTTTTAAAAAATAGAAAGTATAAAATCATATACTAAAAATGGTTGGTTAATTGTACGTTATTTCAAGTCCGATTCCAGAATTTTAAAATCATAAGAAGTCGACACCGTATATCGGCGAAGGGTTTCAAATGCTGACCTTTACTTGGCACTCAAAGTCATTGAGCAGTAAGGGATCTTTTTTTCGCAAACGCTTGCCGTGAAACGGGGCTTTGCTTCTAAAGGACTCGTCCGAAAGACCTGCAACTTTCACTTCAAAGTGTCGAGCTCAAGATCAAAAAAAAAAAAAAGAGGCCTATGGACCACATCGCTCACCTGAGCACTGTGGCTAGGAAAAAGTAGAAATTGGTTAATTATTGAAAAGTTTAAATCCAAAAGTAGTCCCATGACCAATCATGGCTTTGCTATTCTTGAGAAAATGATTTTTTAAAAAAATTCCTATATATAACTATGCAAAACTTTGATTGGCCATTGTGGCACCGCCCTACCCCCGGGGGTCATAATTTGAACAAATGTAAATCTACACAACCTGAGGGTGCTTCCATATAAATATGATCAATCATGGCTTTGCAATTCTTGAGAAAAAGATTTATTTAAAAAATTCCTATATATTTCTATGTAAACATTTGATCGGCCATTTAGGCCCCGCCCTACCCCCGGGGATCATGATTTGAACAAACATGAATCTACACTACCTGAGGATGCTTCCATATAAATATTATACAATTATGGACTCTTTTGGTGTTGAATATGGTTTGTTATTCACCAAAAAAATATTCATATTGACCGAGGCGAAGCCGAGGTCAATATGGATATTTTTCTGGTGAATAACAAACCATATTCAACACCAA